GAATCGGTGATAGTGCCCGTTTTCAAAAAAGGGGCGCGTAGTGAGTGTGGTAACCACAGGGGGATCAGCTTGCCCCCGGTTGTAACGAGACTTTTGGCGTCAATTGTGCTTCGTCGCCTTACGGTGGCTCGTGAGACACTGACTCGAGAGCAGCAAGCGGGATTTCGGCCTGGTAGGGGTCGTGTTGACCAAATCTTCTCACTGTGTCAGGTGCTAGAACAACGCCATACGTATAAGCGACCCACGATTCTAGTATTCCTGCATTTCCGAGGCGCATTCGACTCGGTTGATCGGTCTGTTCTTCTTGAGACGCTTGCCCACCAAATAATGCCCTGGAAGCTTATGAACGTAATACGTTCTTTATACATTCAGACTTCCGGACGTGTGAGAGTGTACGGAGAGCTATCCATAAGCTTGTACACAAATCGGTGTCCGTCAGGGATGCCCACTCTCTCCATTACTTTCAATTTCGTGATCGATGAAATAATGAGACAACCGCTGGAGGGTCTCCAAAACCCTGGTATTCAAATAGTCTGTGAAGAAATCCTTGTCGATCTGGAATATGCAGACGACATCGTTCTCATGTTCGAAGAGGCGGAGTAGGCGTAAGTATTCTTGGATGAACTGACCAAAGTCATCCCGTCCTTTGGTATGCACTTTGCACCAACAAAGTGTAAGGTCATGCTTGTGGACGTGCAGTCACTGAACACGCCACTTACAATCCAGGGAGAGATACTGGAAGTTGTGGAGCGTTTTACGTATCTCGGAAGTTGTATTAGTTCTGATTGTAGTGTGACAGATGAGGTCGATGCACGAATCTGCAAGGCTCGGGCCGCGTTTGCTAGCTTGAGACACCTATGGCGTCAGAATGGTTTATCCCTGAATCTGAAGGGACGTGTGTATCACGCTACAGCACGGGCTGTTTTGTTGTATGGCTGTGAGACTTTGCCTATTCGAGCAGCGGACCTGAGACGTCTTCAGGTGTTCGACAATCGTTGTCCCAGAACCATAGCTCGTGTGGGTTAGTGTCGGTGAATCCGTAACGAGGCAGTTGGAGAGCGTGTTTTCAGTTGTGTAACGGGTACTTCCATTGAAGAATGTGTCCCGCATTAGAAGCTGCGTTGGTTGGAACATGTGTTACGCATGCCGAACCATCGTTTGCCGAAGAAAGTACTGTTTTCCATGCCCAACTCAGAGTGGCGTAAACAGAGAGGTGGCCAACCCTTGACTTGGCAGAGGAGTATGAAGGAGATCACGAAACGCCTTGGTGCTGTCGGTGCTACTCGCCTTCCAGGATGGGGACCGCTCTACCCTCACTGTGCCCGGTTGGAGACACTACAAGATAGGACTGGCAACCGACGTCAGTGGCGTTCTTGTTGTCAGTTTCTATCCAGATCACCTGAGTGAATGTCTGGAGGTGTAGGCACCTCGGAATGATTGTGTTAGGCTAGCACTAAGTCCCTCCACAGTCCACCTTTACTCTTTTCTTTACAATGAGGCTTTCAGATAAGTCATGGTTGTACGACAGTGAAGCATCGGTGTTTAACACTGATGTCATGCTGTCGATGATGATGATGACTTGCCCACCAGGATGGGCACTGGGTGGTCCCCGCTGCACCTAGTTGGCAACGCTACAAGGTATGGCTGCTAATCGATGTCAATGGCTTTTGTGTTGTCAGGTTCTATCCAGACTGCTTGAGTGAATGTCTGGGGGTGTAGGCAAATCGGATTGATTGTGGCGAGATAACCCTAAGCCCGTTCCTATCTCCACCTTTATTCTTTTGTTCACAATGTGACTTTCAAATAAGTTATGTTTATACGGCGACGAAGTACCAATCGATGATAATGTCCATTCGCAGTATGGGAGCTCGCTTCCGTTCATCTGGCTGCTTCCCTTTGGCCTTCTTGGTATAGTTGTATTTTGCGCAGTTCTAGCCTGCGTGATCATTGGAGTACCCAAACCCGATCGCAACGTCAGTGTGGATGCCCTTGGTCGAGGTTGCGGATGTCACGCGTAATGACCCTAGTGCCTCTGGACCGCCTTAGCTTATCCAGTGGTAGGTATCCATCCCCGCCACAAGAATTTGAATGATAACTGAGTTGGGTAACTCAGTAATACCCGTCCGGCAATCGTTAGAATTACGCAAAGTTATCCTCTGGCTTCACTCACTCATCAGGAGGAGGATGTTCCACTATCTGATCCGGACAATACTTCCTGTGTTGAATGCCCCAGTTCCCCTATTCGTCACCCTTCCAGGAACGTCATGACATCTTGTGCAGCGCCACAGAGCTTTAATGAAGTAACGCCGTTGATGATGAGGGAACGACACCACTTTGCAAAAACGCATAAGGTTCAGCTTAAGACCGAACCCCAGTACTCTCTATCTCTCAGGTGTAACACCCTTCCGGTGCCTAGCTGTCATGCTACCCGAGAGCTGGGACACTGCCAAGTTGCCCAAGCCTAGATAGGGAAAGTCGGGAAGCAGAGCACTGCCAAGTACCACGCACCTTCCGGTCAGTAAATTCGCGCTCTAACCACTTGAGCCATCTCCTTCCCAGTACTGATATAAGATTGAGCCGTGACCTCCCGGAGCTCATGAATTTTCACGGTCTGAGAGTTTGTTCACTAGTACTTGCGGTGAACATCGTAGGTAAGACATGGTAACAGTGTGTCTAATGACGTGTATGAACGTGGTTATGATATTCTAATCCTTCTGGAGTTGGTGGTAGCGCCGACTTGGGTACATTCTTTACGTACCATCTCCCAATTTTACCTATTGCCACTAATTTGCTTGGAATAGCGCCGTGTACCGGATGACGGTTTGAAACCTGGCGCTCAACAATTCAATCGAACCTGTTTCATGTAAGTGGGGTCATTGTGTGCCAAGAAGCACTTTACAGCTCTTCCATACCTTTTGTAGAATCAGCCTTGTTCGTTCCACGAACCTCCAGGGAGTTTCGAACTCACCGCCTCCCGATTATCAGTAGAAGGCTTAACCGATCGGCTACGAGCGGCTAATCGGTTCGGTTTACCTTCCAAAAGTTGTTTATATCACAACTGATCTTTTTTTAGGTTCCTCATAGTTTCAGTAAGTCAGTCGCACACAGCCATGAAACTCAGTGGAGGCATCAACAAACCAAGTGGGAGTGCATTCTTTCGAGAGTGGCTCTTCAACAGACATCTGTAATTCATCATACACAACAGAAAATGGCCATCCTGGTTCAAAAACTTCGGAATTAGGTCCTGATCTTTATAGCCCAATCTACCGTCTTGTTGTAAACGAACTAGCAAGACTCAAGTTTTGTGCTCTCTACAATCTATTGGCAACAAGGCATTGATAACATATGGTAGCTGATCAAGACATTCTCGCTCTCTTTCAGCCGTTGCCGTATTCCTGATTGTTCGTTGTGACTCGAGCGCACGACTTCCCTAGCATGTTTAATAAATTAAAAGACAACGTCGCGAAGACAAAAGACGCACGCAAGGTCAGTTGAACCGCAGATTTTCATTGGGGTTGCTTTTAGTAATATCAGTGACCAAATATACTTCAGATAGCTTTTTACGCATAGGATTCCATGTTTGGTTGGTGTGGGCCACCAGAGGCTTGGGGAGTTTTTAATCGAGAGATTGACAGTGAACTAACGGTAGCTTGGAGGCTGAGGTATGACCAAATGGTTGGAAGCCATTCTCGGCTTTCTCATTTGCTTATCTCTACGCGTGAACAGCAGAGCGGTGTACTATCCCTTTTCAGTGACGTAATAACCACGCTTGGATAAACCGGCAGCTAAGCCTTTTTTTTCATTTTCTAGCAATAGTAGGCCAAAATCACTCTGACACTTGTTCTTGATGTGTGCATCTACACGGTGGTGTTGAAGATGAGGTCTTTGAAGGCGGGTCGTCAGGTTGGTTTGGTACCGTAATTTGTTTGTCTCCCACCCTGTGGAGTACGAGTGATGACACTCAAACAACACCCTTCGTCTCGAGTGATTGTAGTTGGAAGATTTTCCCTAAGAAATGCATTCCTGACATTCTCAGTGTGGTGTCTCTAGTGATGTGATAGTGAATGGTGGGGTGTGGAACAGTGCTGCGTCTCAGAGTTGTCCACGGGACTCTCCGATGGGGTTAACATCAGAGGCTTCCATTGTAGTGCACTGTCCCGATTTGATAATTTGAATTCGCAGGACAACCTTTGACCCCAAGGCCTATAGGAGCTGGGGCATTACAAAGTGAACTACCACTCGTTTCCTGGTTGGCTTTCTGCATCTGGCAGGATTGCCCAGCCCGAGGGACAAACCCCGGCGCGAACAGAAGACGGTTAGTTCTAAGGCTATCAGCATGCCCAACTGGTGGCCTATAGCTAGCTGTGCAGTTACATGCAGATAGAGGGAATAAATTAGATAGCAATAAAGATAAACGGATGAACCGGCGGATCTTGGTAGCAAACCATTTAGAACTCCTGCAGGTATAGTACTTCGTGGAAAGGGGACTAGGGTTGTCTACCACCCACTACTACATAACGAGCAGGATGCAGTCACGTTTGCTCGTGGACTCAAAATTCCCATCTCTTACTTTTGGGTCTTAATTCGGCCTTCATTATGACTGGTAGGTCCCAGACGACGATACTTCCGTACAGCCAATTGATGTCGTGGATATCGATTGTGATGCACCTGTGAGTCTGCCTGTTCCCCTCGTTAGCAGTTTCCCTCTTCACCAACCTTTAACCTTGTTTAGTGTAATGACATGTTGTTCTTTCGTAGGGTAACCAGCCGCCTAATTAATGCACAGCAGCTATCACGTGATTCATTAAGCGAGCGGTCATTTGACTGGTTGCGTCACCCTACAAGTGCTTAATATCACGCGATTCTTCTGCTTTGATGGGGTAAACTAGTGGTAACCTTCAAATTCTGAAGCCGACTATTCTAGCCATCTTTGGAGTACTAGCCAACCAGAGGTTCACCTACTTGGAACTCGAAACAAGCGCAAAAGTATAGAGTCACCGATTTGAACGCAGTGGACGTCATGCTGTTAGTGCTAGGTGAAGACGCGGAAGACACTTTGTTACTGGTCGTTGGCTTGTTCGCCGAGCTGGGCAGTTTGGTTGCAAACGTTTCATCACCAATCGAGGTGACATCATCAGTGCGTAGTTGTGCGTAGCGGTGGGTTAGTGGTTGTGCACAACCACTAACCCACCGCTACGCACAACTACGCACTGATGATGTCACCTCGATTGGTGATGAAACGTTTGCAACCAAACTGCCCAGCTCAGCGAACAAGCCAACGACCATCTACGCTACCTGAGCTACCGACATTCTCCTCTATAGAAAAGCACTTTGTTACTGTTTCATAAACAGTGATCTCACAGAGCTGAATTGTGATTGGAACCCGCGCATATGAACATTCTGCCATTCAAAAAAAGGTGATTAGCACATTTTGGTGTGACGCAGTACCGCTCACCCTTCAGCACTGCAGATTCAATTCACGTGACCCCGTATGAACTGGCTCTCCACAGTGTGAAATCTGCTTTCTACGAATAGACCTGGAAAGAAAAGCCTCACCAAGTCACATGACCTTGGCAAAAGTCACCACTGAAGAAGCCAGATAGTATCAGGGAGAGGAATAACGCCCTCTTGAACATTGTCTGAGCTGCTTACTGGTTTTCCATTGCTGTATGTGAGCAGTCGCTCCCGACAGTTTACAAACTCGGCATCGGCTCACCTAAAAGATGGTTTCACTCACGTGACTGCATCAGTAAATTCAGAAACAAACATTCTAACATCGCTTTTTGTTTGCCAACCTTCTCGCAACCCATTTTGCTAACCACTGTTTCCCTATCCGAATCTTTTACCATACCAACTACACATCGTTCTCCTCACTATTCGGGGTGTTCCTTTCTTATCCTGATTCCGGTGCTATTATTCACTCCAGTGCTGTTTTTGGTCCACTTTGAATAACGTAAGATGATCGTCTTTTCACTGTTTGTTTGTTTGTCTTTCGTTAACACAAATTCGTTGCCTCACCGCACAGTTCGACCACCAGGGTCACGTGTTTTTTCTCCAATCTTTCAGGCCCCTGGCGATAGGAATCATCCCACGCGATCCCGTACATCTTCCACAGGCTCCAAATGTAGTACGACCGCGATGAACCCGGATAGAACGCTCGAAACGGATCCTTCTGCCGGACCGGCTTTGCTCGAATGGACCACCGAGTCGATTCAGGGTGACTCGGATTCCGCCTCTGTGATATCTTCCATTTGTCCTTCGACGGCCGAATCATCTGTTTTTCAGGCACGTTATCAAAAGCTTCATCGGTTGGCGAGGGGCTTCAAAGAAAAATATCAGCAGGTAATCTTCAGTCCAGCTCCGCAACTTTGTTTGATTACTCTCACCTCCGTTCACGACCGTTGTTCTTAAAAACCAAAATGAGGAACTTTCTTCCGGCTGACGAGGCTTTGAGGCCACTTAGTTTTGTAATGAGCCAAGTGACGTCGAGGGAGGCTACTACTCTAGAGTATTCCTCTCAAGTGTTTCTCCTCACCTACCATTGATGACGGTGATGTTAGGGGCCAGTTTGGATAGCTGTTAGTCTGGTCGCCGTGCCTGGTAACTGGCTTGCAACGGAGAGATACCGGACTGCGGTAGGGTAGACACACCGACGGACGCTCTCCGATGATGTCTCCTCGAATGGCCACGAAGGGTTTGCAAGTCAGTTGCCCCTGGTCGGCGAACATATCAGCAGCCATTTGGTCAACTACCGATGTATCGGTGGTACTACTGGTGGGAGCACTGTTTGACCGGTACGGGGAAGTGAGTTCATCAAGGCATGTCTGTAGCGGCTGCATGGATGATGCCGCATTCGCATCTGATTGGTTGTGGATAGATGACCGAAACTCGGTGATAACGGTCGCCTGCGAGTTGAAAGAATCCTCAAGACAGGAATATTTTCGTTTCCAATGTGCTAGCTCATCTTCCATCGTGAGTAGCCTGGCCTGAAGAGACTGAAGCTTGAAGTTGAGAGAAAAAAGAATTGTCAAGCTCATTGTAGCAGGTTAAAGTATGTGTCACTCTGTTTGGGAATTTTCCAGAACAATGACGCTTAATGATTCGTACAACAACGCTGCAAGATATACACAACCAGTCTGCAGATTCCTCGATGAGAGGCAACCATCCACCCCCTTCTTTTCGGAGAGGGAGCGACATAAGGGGATGAAGTAGTGTAAACCACCAGGTCCTGATGTAATTACTCACCAAAATTACAAATCAGTAACCATATGCAAACGGTCAACAGCCAGAATGACCAACACGTCCGCTGAGCATTGGTCGGTCTGGTGGGAACATTAGATTAGATCTACTTGGGTACGCCAGGTGATTACGGGAAGAAGGATCTCTCCCGCGATGGATGAATCACGCTGGTTATGAATGCGCGTACAAAAAGGCCGTCTGCCTCACAGAGCTCTTTTCGCCCGACCCTCTGCTGAGTGGAAGCGTCCGGGACGTATAACTTGCCAGCGAGATATGAAATTACTAACCAGTAAGTCGCGTGGACAACTGGTTGGCGACCCCGGGACTCAACTCTCAGATGTTTAATGACACTGGCACAGGTGGCGCAATCTCACACTCAGTCATGCTGATGCATCAAAGCTATCGCCTCAGTTCCAGAACTATTTGAACATGCCATCGCAACCAAGACTTGGCGGTATCTCCCACACTCTCCCATTTCTCAGTGATCAGAACCATTGCAGCTGAACCCAATGTACGCGTGGTTCACGGTTTATAGCTAATAAATTGGACTGAGCCCGCTGAGCTACTTCGGACAGGCGTGCATTCACACGCGTGATTGTATGCGAGATCAAATTAGATAATAGATAAACATAATCATTCAGCTGTAGCACTCTTTCGGTGCCCAACTGCCATTCCACCCGAAGGAAGCACGTGGGCTGGGTTGCACAAGCTTAGACAGGCGTTGTCGATGGGCAGAGGTCGGGTTCGAACCACAGACCTTCCGGTTTGCAAATTCGCGCTCAAATCACCGAGTCACCCCGCCACGATCAAATTAATAATAATAATAAGTAATAATAATGATAACCGTTCAGCTACAACACCGTACTCGAAGGAAACACGAAGGCTGCGATACTGTCAGGCCACCTAAGCCTGGACAGGAACCGGGGTTGGGTTCGAACCGCGCGGACTTTCCGGTCAGTAAGTTCGTGCCTTAAAAGCGGAGCTGCCTCAAGCTCGACTTGCCAAATACGGTTTTACCGGAGCAACCGGGTGCACTGGCAACGTTATACTTCGTTGCTAGCGGCATCCGTGGCTGCCGCTCGCGGTGGAAAACTTGGTGCCGCATAAGTACCAACCGACAGTCGCCACGTCGTGGCAGAATCCTAAGATTTTCGTTACAGCCGGGGACAGACTGAAACGATCATCCGGCAGTATTAGGAACAAAAGCCTATTCATGTCCACGAAACGTACCATTTTGGGGTTTCACCAACATTTTCCCAACGGAATTCAAAATGAAAACGCTGATTGGTTCATTTTTGCCATAGCCAGCACGCATCATTCGAATCCTTATTGCGGACTATACTGTGGACAGCTTTTACTATTGTCGAGTCAAACCTGGTGACCAAAACGAGACGAAACCAGAGCAGTTGCTTCCAAATGAAACGGGTTTTGTGAAGGGAACTACTCATAAGGTTTCTGAGTAGTTTTCGTCATGAGAATATCTCGAATATTTCATCAACTGAAACAGCAAGCCGCCTTTGTGTGGCACACTCAGTTGAAAATCATCATAAACGAGACATTCAGCTGGGTTCCAGGCGAATCTCCCACGAGACGGGTTTTAGTTCAACTTCCTTCTGTCATGGCATTGCCAAATGGTCATTACTGGTACATGTGATTGGTCAGTTGGCGATTTGTCACACGTTTGTAATCAGATTCCCATCTTTGGGGTTTGATGGTTGTAGCGTGCATTGACTGACTGGAAGGTTCGTAGTTCGAACCCGACTGCCGTCTCTGCCTGTTGACTTTCCCTGTTTAGGCTTGGGCAACCTGGCAGTATCCCAGCCCTCGTGCTTCCTTCGGGTGGCATGCCAGCGAGACACTTGCGTGCGCAAGTTCAGTGAGACAGCTGTTCGAATGCTCACTAGATTGAAACGTGGCCTTTTTCTGGGTGGTCGCAACCGGCACAACGCTCATGAGCTGATTATCGTTTAGTGACCCATTTTCGTTGTTCGTTTTGTCAACTGACAATCAGTACTTCCAGTTTGACATAACCACCGAAGGGAAAGGGACTGCTTCGCCTTGGCTCGGAAGACTTTCCCATCCTCGGATGAGAATAGTTGCCTATCAGACCGCAACTGACGAAGAAAGCCGTTGTGTACCCTTGAATGTATTGATCTCTCTTCCGGCCGTTTCTTTCTTCTCACAGGCGGACATGTTGACCCCCTGTCTTGACCAGGCAATGGTTGCCATACCATCCTTGGAATTTATGGGCATTGTACTTCATCTCGATCGCCAGAGCCTAAGCAGGAAGGTAGACTTACGTTTTGGAGACCAACTGTTGTGACTTTACTGAACGGTAGTGCAACTCTGTATCGGTCTCTTGGCTTCCTGCTCCGCCCACTATGATATATGAAGAGGCACGGTAGCTCTAGACAGCCCTTCATGGAGACCAAGGAAGATTATTACAACCTCATTTATGGGGACAATGACAATGTTGCACAAGGTCGTGCTGGAATCTCCGTGAGGGGGCGAGAAGCGTTGAGTTAAAAATGCTCGATCCTGATTGGTTGGCATTCTGACCAATCAGAGCATGCCCTTTTTTGGTCCGTATCCTGCACGTGACACATCCGTCCAAATGGTGTGGCCTCCGGGCACTAAGCTGCCTTTCAGGAGAGCCTTTTAAACAGAGGCCGTCCCACTCGATATTCTCTAACGGGATTTTTTACCGACCATGACTTATTATACGGAATTTCCCATAAGTTGTCATGCAAAATTCAGTTTCATGGGGACTAACTGTCCACACAAGAATGGAGGGCCTCAATTTAATCGTTTCTCACCGTCCTCCGTTCTTTCAACTCAGGCTATGGACAGGTTCAAAAAGTTGGAACAAGAACGTGACCATCTTCGCGAACTGCTAGCAACCCAACAAACCCAGGCGTTCCGTCGGATGGACGAACTTCGAGAAGAATTGGCACTGGACAAGAAAGCCAAACAAGATGTGGATGTCAACTACAATCTGATGTTGACTGAAAAAGACGAATTTATTCAGGTCCTTCGGCTGCAGGTAGGTGTTCGTTTGCAAATTTGTTTGTATTCCGCCCATGGTCGCCGCTCATTTTACTCTCATCTTCTATGTTCACTTTGCGCCAAACTTACCGGATTCTGTGTACTCACCCAGCCACTCTTTGTCCATATGTGTGCTCGTTCTCTGTGAGCATTATTAGTGTTCTGCTTACCTTAACATATCACACGCTCCCTCTCCCCGTCGCACTTCACCAGGTATCTTTACTGAAAGAAGGGAAAAATCTTCCTCCAGAATTGGAGGCTAAAATCAGTGCTGGTCACGCACGGGAGGTGCAACGACAGCGGTCGCTGGAACAGGAAAACGAAGACCTAAAAACCGAGGTAAATGTGATTCGATTTTTTCTTGAGTCAAGCCATTGGAGTGCTCCATGTACAATACAGTTGAAAGCAGCCATCCCCAAAATTCTCGTTGCGTTTCCGACTCAACAGTCAACAAAACAAAACACAAGAAGAACATGCTTTGTCAATACGGTAGCCTCAGATAAACAAACGAACCAGTCATGTATCCTCATCGCTTCCTGACGCGATGCGTTCGCATTTTCGCTTTTAATACATGTACTCAGGTGTACTAGGATTTGGACATCAACCAAGGTAACCAAGCCAGGTGACTGCTTTCATACGCTACAACACCAGCTCACATAGGTGAGAGCAGCCTACCGGCTGCCAATAACGTTCTGAGCTGTTTCGGTCGATCACCTCTTATGATCGGCTCTTTAGGGCTGCTTATATCCGATCATCCTTGCCATGGTCTGTACAAATGATGATCCAGTGTTGTGAACGCAGTCGAGTAGCGAATAGTAATGCAAAACGGACCCACCTACGTCACAGGTAGGCTGTTCCGCACACACACACACACACACGACACCAACCGTGCGTTCACTTCGGTGGTTTTGTCTCAAACAGCATAGCTCTGGGACTTTTTCAACTTCGTGTGCCGTCGATCCAGACTGCCCTGCATTCGTACATCCGACTGAAACCGACTAATGTAGTCTAATCAGATGGATACTTGGTCACTGGTGCCTTGTCGCCTGCGCATCTTTTAGTCGAGCGACTTCCCGTTGCAGGCATCCCTTCTGTATCTGTTCGTTTTGTCGTTTTGAGTTCCAATCGTGAATTGGATGCATTTCAACTGCTAGGTTCATTGCTATGGTTCATCAAACAAAACGTGTAAATGTCCGTCGCCAATGTAACACTCTGTATGAACCTACACGATTCGAAAACCTGATTGGTTAATTGGCTCACGTGCCGCTCTCGTCCAATACAATCATCCGAACGTGGCCACATCTGATTGGAACTCTCCGCTGGTTTTACCCAATGGTTTTATAATCCGCGGTCCAACGTGACATCACTTATCACGCATACACGAAACGCATTTAGCTCCGTTTTTCTCACTGGTTTCCTCTCTTTCGTAACACCGATAAACTGACTGGTTTTTTGGTCTCCCTCTAGGTGCAGACTCTCGCAACACAACTTCAGCTAACCACCACGCAACTGGAGGAGCAGACGGTGCAGCGTAGTCAGCTTGAAGAAGCGTTGAACGCCCACAAGGTGAAGTTGCAGCAGGTAAGTGTACGCTCGTTCTTCGGACGTCCGGCTGACTGTTTGGGTGCTTTTGCTCGCAGACCTTCAACACAGTCAGAGTGGTGTATTCCAACGTTCAGCTGTGACACCCTTCCGGTGCCTGTGTGCCATTCCTCCTGAAAAAAGCACGAGGGTTAGACAGGGGAAGTCGATTGGCAGAGGTCGGGTTCGAACCACGGACCTTCCGGTCAGTAAATTCGCGCTCTAACCACCCGAGCGAAAGGTCCGTTAGAGATTAAAAAAGGCTATACCAAAACGAGTAAAAACGTGTGAATAATGCACCACACCGGAGCGTTGTGGAGGTTTAGATGGATGTACGTTGACCAGTGTCTTGAAACGTCTTGCGTTATAAAATTTAGAAAAACGGGAAGGAGCAGTAAGTCCCAAATTGGGGAAGGGGGCCGTTCTGTTAGGCTGAAAACGGACTGAAAATCGATATGGGCGACTAGGGGAATATAGATGTTCCAGGCGGATGAATTTTTGTGGGAGTGTGACTAGCTTATTGGGTGGATTTTTGTGGGGTGGTGGAAGGCAAAGTCACGGCACTGAGCGAGAGAGAGCTTGCGGATTAGCGTGACAGCTAGACCCCGAAGGGGTGCTGCAGCTGAATGCTTTTTTGTTACATATGAGGAACGATATGAGGGGGCGCGGGTAGAGCAGAACCCACCTTGATCGTGTGGATCCCGGAGAGAGAGATGAGCCGCCTTCAATATGTACATGAAACCGAGCGCTTTATAAGAAAGCCTCCAGCCTAGTTGACAAAGTCAGGTCTTGGTGCCACATTCGAATCCTTGAAGTAAAGCTATTCGCCCAATTATTTCAAGCTGAATGATCACAGGTGTGATGAGTACACCGACAGGTCACCTGTAGAGTGGTGGCACGAGACCGCTTTTTTCCATGTGATGCAGAAGCTGTTTGGATGCAATTAACCGCAGAACCTTGGATAAGGTTGGAATAATAGAGATGAGGAAGCGTCTGAGCTCAAGGGCATTGGAACTTCTCCGAAAAAAGTCGTTGAGCTGTAGCACTCTTTTGGTGTGGGATGGCTCAGTGGTTAGAGCTCTAACTTACTGACCGGATGGTTCGTGGTTCGAACCCGACCTCCGCCGCATCTTGACTTCCCCTGTCTAGGCTTGGGCAACCTGTCAGTACCCCAGCCCTCGTACTTCCTTCGAGTGGCATTTCAGTTGGGCACCGGAAGGGTGTTACAGCTGAACAATTACGACTGCCTGCATACCAACGGGCGGAGATACGAGGGCTGGGATACTGCCAGCTTTCCAAAGTCTAGAAAGAAGCAGTCTAGCCATTTCAATTCTGTCGTTTCCGAAGAGACAGGAACGACAATAGATATTGTTGGACCGAGTCTTGAATTACAAGCCCGGGACAAACTAGACGGGATTCCTCCCAACTTGAAATGGGGGTTGGCGAGCTATTGATTGAAGTGAGACAGTGGAATTTGCATGTTTCGACGTTTTATTGAAAAGGCAAGCGCAGAAGTTAGCAGGGGACTCTTTCTTGAGATTCTAGAAGAATTTGCTTCCGGATGCTACGTCATCAGACGGTTGATGAAAATATCCTCCTCGGCCCTATTGTTACCGACAGTACTAGAACTGTGCGCAAGGGGATAAGAGGTTAGTGGGTGTATCTAAACGCCAGCGTCTTTACATCCATCTTCCAACAGCATCAAGTTGGTAAACCTGCGTCGACCATTCCAGATTTTGTGAGTTCTCCGTCTCCAGCATTCCGTCATTGAAGGTACTCATGAGGCTCTCAACGCAGGATCGTCGGGGGTTCGTCCATCCTAACGATAAGAGCAGAAACGTTGTTGCACTGATACTAAAGGAGATAACCATCCAACTGCAACACCCTTTCGGTGCCTAACTACCATGCAACCAGAAGAAAGCACGAGAGTTGGGATACTGCCAGGTTGCCCAAGCCTAGACAGAAGAAGTCGAGAGGCAGAGGCGGGGTTCGAACCACGGACCTTCCGGTCAGTAAATTCGCACTCTAGCCACTTGAGCCATCTCGCCTCCAACGTACTGAGTAGCATACCTGTGGCACGAAAGAAACTGACGTTTCCTTAAAGGAAACTGCTCATGAGGTTGCCGAAAACTCTTCGACTGACCACCACCGGTTTAGCCCTTCTTGGGTTCAAGTAGAACATAAGGTTGACGGAAACTCGGGGACTGCGCCTAACTGATGAGCCTGAATGAGAAGGTCGTAACCGGTCGTGGGCTGTCGAAGAGTTTTCAGCAACCTTGTGAGTAGTTTACTTTATGAAAATATACTGCGATATCTCGAATATCGTGCCAACTGAAACATGAGGTGGCCTGTGTGCAGCACCTTCAGAATATCTTGAACGAGAGATTCAGTTGAGTCTTTCGTGATAACCAAATTGAGTTGCAAATGAGTGTGTTTCTCGGAAATGACGTTTTTTCCACGCTTATCCTAACTGTGACTTTTGATTGTGCTCATCACATAGGCAGAGTGAGTTACATCACAGGTGCAACGGTTTGTTCTTTTATCCGAGTTGTGTGTATTTCGGATTTCTTCTTTTTCTAACATTTTAGTTCCAAGCCCAAATCGAAGAATTCGGACCGCTAAAACGTGAGCTCACAGACAGCAAACTGGCTCAATCTGCTTTGGAGGAACAGGTGAGAGGACTGAAAGCACAGCTCTCTTCTTTGATGGTACCGACGCAGGTGGAGCCGTCACAGGCCTCTGCAGATCAGAAGGAATCGAATGACGCCATCAGACTGCTTGAACTACAGGTCACCGATCTTTCCAAGACACTTGAGGAGACTCGTGCCCACCTGGTCTCTAGTGAAGCGGTTCAAACACAACTCAGGTCGGAGCTGGATGACTACAAGAAACAGGAACCCAACCACCGGGAGTTGCGTGAGCAGTACGAACACACCGTTGTCCGATTGACTGAAATGGAACGGCTGCTTTCAGAAAAGACGGATGAGTTCCTCAGTAGTACTCGTGCTTTAGAGGCAATGAATGTGAGAGAACAGGATCTGGTGGTCAAACTGGATGACACGAGAGCCCGTTTGGTGGATATGAAGTCACAACTGGATGCCTCAACGTTAAAGCTTGCCGAATTAGAAGATAAGCAGACCATTTGGAAGACTACTGAAGAAGATTATGAGACGTTAAAACAAGAACACTCAATTCTGGTCGATTTAAATAGGCAACTTCAATCCCATCTCACTTCGAAACTCCAGGCAAGTGGGTTACTTTTGGACAATGGTGAAACCAGTTCTTTGGAAGGCTTGGTCGAACAACTACTGGGGTTCGTAAGTACTGCGGCTCTTCGCTTAGATAAAACTACTGAGGGGAATGCCGAACAACTGCGAATTCTGACGGAAAAACATGCAGCCGATGTGAGTTCACTCAGAGATTCACTGACTGCGGAGCATACCTTGAGGGACGAGTTGGAACAACGTGCGAAACAGCTGCAGACGAAAGTCGACGAAAGTGAAGACCAGTTAGCCGATATTCAACTTAAGCTATCCGAAGCGAAGTCCATTCTGAGTTTGAAAGAAGAGGAAATTCAAAGTCTAACAGTGAAGTTGCAAGAGGCCAGCGAATATAACACAGAACTTCAAGCCCGTTGTAGCAATGCTGAACGAGAAACCGGGGACTTAACTGCTCTGAGACAGGCCACCGAGGTATTGTGCAAGGAGCGCGATGAGCTGGTGGCAAAGTTGTCTACGGCTGAGTGTGAACGGCGAACGGAATATGCCACACTGATGTCCCAAATCGAAGAGCTCTCCTCAGCATTGGCCGCTGAAAATCGTCGTCTTCGGGTTTCCCAGGCTACCGTTGAGCAATACGGTGGTGTGGCGACAGAAGTCACCAGTCTGCGGCAACAGCTAACGACAGCTCATTCGTGTCTGCAGGCTTTACGGTCTGATTTGGAGCTCTACGAGGCCGACTCAATGAACGCCATCTCTGGAATTGTCTCTCAGTCGATCGATGAGGTTGAGGTATCATGTTTGGAACTGTTGGGGAAATTTTTCGAAGATAAAACCAATACAAGCCAAAAGGTGAGTGTGACGGGTTTCGTGCTATCCGTGGCCCATCCTCATTGATATCTATTTTAACTACTGTCCATTTGTCAGTAGTCCAACGCTCACTCCAAATACGTACCCTGATGGTGTGGACTGTCCTTCGGAGCGTTCGAGCTTTTGCCGTCTTGCGCACAGTGTTTCTTTCATGCTTCACTTCTATTATTTTTGCTCATGGAGTCAGCGAACATCAATACAGCAACGGACACCTTCGCCAGAAAGGTTCCACGAGTTGCCTGAAGGTGGCGGGCTCGTACAGGGATGTCGTGTGGGGCACGTGATCCTTTGGCTAACAACTTGAGCCTTTTATCCTACAAATAGGTTTGTATGACTGATCAATCTGATCTCGGCTATGCTATGCAAAGTATCATGTGATCTCCACCCAATGAGTTTCAAGGAAGAAGAAGGCGTTTATGTGGCATAGTTTTTTGCGATTCCACCACCACGTACTATACAACGCTAATTCAACATAACCCGTCAGTTCGGGCCGCCATCACACCTTCCTACAGAATTTTGGAAATCTGTCCTATTTTCATCACGTGCGGTATCAGGGTGAGTAAAATTTTGTCATAGATCCAGGAAATTAAGAACCGCCTCGCCAAAACGTAACACACTACTCATAAAGCTGCAGCCCATGAGTAGTGTGTTACGTTTAGGTAGCATGTTGCGAAATCTCGAACAGCGTACCAATTGAAACACGTGACGACCTGATTTGGCACACCCAGTCGAATCGGAGCATTAAGGAATGCCTTCTTCATCTCTGGTTAGGCTCCGGTGTTGGTGGCGTCCAAATCGGAACGCTTACAGAAGTAGACACAAAGGTCAGTTCAGTTTCTCGGTTTAATTCATCGCAATTTACTCAAATCCGAACTGCCGACTCAAAGCCATACAGAGGATAATAAAAACAGGAATAAAGTATCGATTAACGGGCATCTACTCCCGTCAGCTGTTCCCCAGTCGCAAAAGACAATTGATTCGGAAAGTTTGGGATATAGAATATCCCCTCATTAGCCCACATGTTGGTCTTACGAGCGTGAGCGTATTCGGTTCGGGCAGAATCCCACATTTACGCTTTCAGATTGGCTACTGGTCCCCTTCCTGGCACTTCTTTCAGAGTTACCGGTTCCCCGTAATGTTCCCTGGCCCAATGTTCGGCCCAAACCACTGGTTAGGTCACCGGAAGACATATCCAGGCGCAATAGCCAGAAAATACCGTCGGATGGTCGGATTCAAACCACGAGCCTTCTTCCTACAACCCTGTTGTGTCTTGGTGAACGGTAGTGCAACTCTGTATCGGTCCCTTGGCTTCCTGCTCCGCCCACTAGGGTATATCAAAAGGCACTGTAGCTCTATACAGCTCTTTATGGAGACAGGAAAATTATTCCAACTGTATTTATGGAGCAGTCACAATGTTCCACAAGGTTTTGCCGGAATCTCCGTGAGGGGGCGAGAAGCGTCGAGTCAAAAATGTTCGATCCGGATTGGCTGGCATTCTGACCAATCAGAAGACACCTTCGTTTGGTCCGTGTCCTGCACGTGACACACCCGTCCAAATGATGTGACGTTCGGTTATTGGGGACGGCTGGCCTGCGTACACACCTTTGTGCCTTAACGAGCGAGTTTTCCCAAGCTAAGAACTACCACATTGCCTGGTACCATGTCTTTTCGTTTAAGTTATCTCCTTTAGGATGCGCTCCTGCCACGCCGTCGGTTTCTATGCTGACAGAGGTCACCCCTCAGGATGCGGAACAGCTATACTTGACGTGACCCAACTTCACTGGGGTGGGAACTTCAAGATGGTTGAGCGAAGGAAACACATCTTCCTCCAGCTGATAGCGACCTGGAACAAGTGGCGTCGCTTTTGCTTTACGCATGACAGTCTCGTCTGTCAAATGTATCAGTTTATCGTTCCGTGGAAGGAGTGGCTACTACATCCACTAAGATCCACTTGAATACGCAATAGCCTCGCTAGGCTGAGCTAACTGTTGGAGATTGAGATGGCCCAAGTGGTTCGAGCGCGAATTTGCAAACCCGAGCTTCGCGTTACGAACCCGACCTCTTCCGCATCTCGACTTCCCTCGTCTACGCTTGGGCAACCTGGCAGTATCCCAACCCTCGTGCTTCCTTCGGGTGGAATGGCAGTTGGGCACCGAAAGGGTGCTACAGCTGAATGATTATGTTTATCCATTATCTAATTTGATCTCGCATACAATCACGCGTGTGAATGCACGCCTGTCCGAAGTAGCTCAGCGGGCTCAGTCCAATTTATTAGCTATAAACCGTGAACCACGCGTACATTGGGTTCAGCTGCAATGGTTCTGATCACTAAGAAATGGGAGAGTGTGGGGGATACGACCAAGCCTTGGTTGCGATGGCATGTTCAAATAGTTCTGGAACTGAGGCGATAGCTTTGATGCATCAGCATGACTGAGTGTGAGATTGCGCCACCTGTGCCAGTGTCATTAATGGGCACCGAAAGAGTGCTACAGCTGAATGATTATGTTTATCCATTATCTAATTTGATCTCGCATACAATCACGCGTGTGAATGCACGCCTGTCCGAAGTAGCTCAGCGGGCTCAGTCCAATTTATTAGCTATAAACCGTGAACCACGCGTACATTGGGTTCAGCTGCAATGGTTCTGATCACTGAGAAATGGGAGAGTGTGGGAGATACCGCCAAGTCTTGGTTGCGATGGCATGTTCAAATAGTTCTGGAACTGAGGCGATAGCTTTGATGCATCAGCATGACTGAGTGTGAGATTGCGCCACCTGTGCCAGTGTCATTAAACATCTGAGAGTTGAGTCCCGGGGTCGCCAACCAGTTGTCCACGCGACTTACTGGTTAGTAATTTCATATCTCGCTGGCAAGTTATACGTCCCGGACGCTTCCACTCAGCAGAGGGTCGGGCGAAAAGAGCTCTGCGAGGCAGCCGGCCTTTTTGTATGCGCAGTCATAAGCAGCGTAATTCATCTATCGCGGGAGAGTTCCTTCTTCCTGTAACCATCTGGCTACCCTAGTAGATCTAATCTAATGTTCCCACCAGACCGACCAATGCTCAGCAGACGTGTTGGTCATTCTGGCTGTTGACCGTTTGCATTTGGTTACTGATTTGTAATTTTGGTGAGTAATTACATCAGGACCTGGTGGTTTACACTACTTCATCCCCTTATGTCGCTCCCTCTCCGAAAAGAAGGGGGTGGATGGTTGCCTCTCATCGAGGAATCTGCAGACTGGTTGTGTATATCTTGCAGCGTTGTTGTACGAATCATTAAGCGTCATTGTTCTGGAAAATTCCCAAACAGAGTGACACATACTTTAACCTGCTACAATGAGCTTGACAATTCTTTTTTCTCTCAACTTCAAGCTTCAGTCTCTTCAGGCCAGGCTACTCACGATGGAAGATGAGCTAGCACATTGGAAACGAAAATATTCCTGTCTTGAGGATTCTTTCAACTCGCAGGCGACCGTTATCACCGAGTTTCGGTCATCTATCCACAACCAATCAGATGCGAATGCGGCATCATCCATGCAGCCGCTACAGACATGCCTTGATGAACTCACTTCCCCGTACCGGTCAAACAGTGCTTTGTTTTCATCCAAAGATGCACAAATCTCCGAGCTGAAAGAGGAACTATCTACTCTCCGTAGCACGACATCCTTGCAATTGCAAGAGGCGGTTGTTCAAATGGAACAAGCGAAAACTCAGGTGCAGCAAGAGGTCAGAGACTGGGATTTGAGGTCTAGTCAGGCTTTCGAACAGATCCATGCCCAACATAATCGTTTGTCCGCACTGGTCAATCTTGTGAATGCTTCCTCTGAACGCCTGGCGAACGCGGAACACCAGCTGGAATTGTTGCGCCTAGGACAACACCAGTCGATGAACACATCGCTCCAGGATGAGTTGAACCGGACAAGAGCTGACTTAACAGAGCTGGAGACGGAAAAGGGCCAACTATCGGATGAGCTTAATCACAAGAAGCAACAGGTAGGCAGCCATTCTTCCAAACCTCTCCAACGTTTTACTCATTCTTTCTAGGTTTTTGACGGTTTGTGAAGACAGATTGGTGTTCACTTTATAGGTGGTGACCCCAGAACCCACGACCAAATGTGATCCACCTTCAGGCATTTCTTAGAAGCATGATCGATGTTGATGGGCTTATCAGACAGTCTAGACCAATTTCAGAAAGGGTCCTTTAAATAGCGCGGGGCCTTTGTAACTTTTGCACGCACTCACTCGCTTGTTTGGACTAAAGCTGTTGTGTACCCTTGTCGGTAAGTTCTTTTTCCGGCACTGGGCATTGGAGCGGGGAACAGCAGTCAGATGTAACAGGTCATAGGTCTGGTGTTCAAACCAGACAGCGAAGGATACGCACTGGTGACGAGCCCCTTCGGTGTAACTGTGGCAGGATAGTTGGAGAACTATTCAAATGAGAGGGATGTAGGCGTTGATTATCCTCCCATTTGATGGGAAACCGTCGCCCCATAAAACGGTTTCCAACGCGCAGAGAGAATTCAACTAAACCATAGCTTCCTTTCACCACCTCCGCCTTGCTCAGATAGCAATAAATCCAGGTTCTCTGGTAGGTTTCTGACGGCGACGGCTGCGATGTGAACGGGCCATACTCGTCTGTCTAACCTTCCTTGATTTGCTCCAAGCATGCCTTGACAGATTGGACGAAACTAAGGGATGCATAGCGTCCTTATGTTCTGTCTGAAGCATCCGGGGAAGTTTGTTGAACCTCGGTTTTCTCTTATTTCCATGTCACACTTGTTAGACAGAATTTTATGGCCTTGCAGAGCACAAACCTCCCGACATCTCCATTCTCCCTGTCTAAGCTCAGGCAGTATCTCAGCCCTGATCCATTCTCCGGGTGGCATGGCAGCTAAGCAACAAAAGGACGTTACAGCTGAACGATTGTTACTCATTTATTGCATTCGAAGCCATCTATAGGCGGATTCGTTTTCACAGATCAGCTTGAACGACCAGATAATTCAAGCAACATCATCATCATCGACAGCATGACATCACTGTTCAACACTGATGCTTCACTGCCGTACAACCATGATTAATTTGAAAGCCTTATTGTAAAGAAAAGAGTAAAGGTGGACTGGGGAGGGAGGTGCCTACACCTCCAGACATTCACTCAGGCGATCTGGATAGAAACTGACAACAAGAACGCCACTGAAATCGGTTGGCAGCCATATCTTGTAGTGTCTCCAACCAGGCACAGTGAGGGTCAAGCGGTCCCCATCCTAGAAGGCGAGTAGCACCGACAGCACCCAAGCGTTTCGTGATCTCCTTCATACTCCTCTCCCAAGTCGAGGGTTGGCCACCTCTCTGTTTACGCCACTCTGAGTTGGGCATGGAAAACAGCACTCTCTTCGGCAACCGATGGCTAGGCATACGCTACACATGTCCCAACCAACGCAGCTTCTGGTGCTGGACACATTCTTCAATGGTAGTACCCGTTGCACGACTGAAAACGCGCTTTCTAACTGCCTCGTTACGGGTTCGCCGACACCAACCCACACGAGCTATGATTCTGAGACAACGGAGATAAATAGAGCCATTTCCTCCGACTATATTGTCGCCAACATTTCATTAGGTCGGATCTGTCTCGCGCGAGAATGCAATTCCAGCTAGTCCCACAATGAATTAATGAATGAATGAAAGTAAACGAATAATCGATGAACTGTCACCCTTTTTTGGTAGATTAGCTGCCATTTCGCCCTGTCCACGACTGTGACCTCAATATTACTGCCTTAGTCTTCGCGCATCCTATCTTGGATGTGCAACTTTCTATCCGACATATCATCCCAAATCTCAACCGATTTGGGCGATGGAAAAACGGGCATTTGATTGTGCAACAGTTGTGGGAAAATCCGACAACATCAACTGCAGCGGGTCTGCCATGTGCTACGCATGCCGAAACATCGTTGTTCTCCGTACCTCCTTCAGAATGACGGAAACCGCAAGGTGGACAATGTATGTCTTGGTCGGAGGGTTTTTTGGTGTTTTTGGTGTGGTTCAGCTTCCAGAATGGGGTCCCGTGACCCCCGTAGAGACCTTGGCTGAAGACATTGCAAGTGGCGCTTTTGCCGTCATCTTCCTTCCACCAGCAGGTCTCCGTGCCACTCGCTGTTTCTGTCTTATTTTCACTCTGAGGCCTTGAATGTAATCAGTAACGTTATAAGTAGTGTATTACGCCTGCAATTAGGTAAACTTTGTAATGGTAGGGCAGTGGAACCTCAATGTCAACGCTGTCTCGCCTGATGATGATGACTAGTACTGCTCTCTTCGAATGGACACCTTCAAATGGCCCCGAAACCTCTCTTCGATCGGTGGTTAGGGCGCTGATCTAGTGACCGGAAGGTTTGTGGTTCGAACCTGACCTCTGCCTCTCGACTTCACCTGTCTAGGCTTGGGCAAGCTGGCCCCTGGTGCTTCTTTCAGTTGGCACTCACAGGGTGCTACAGCTGGTTGCCTTAAGTTGATGCTGATGCGACGTCAAGAGGGGTTTATCACCGGAGCCTAGTACTGTGTCAGTCGTGCTTATGAGCTTAGGGAAGCTCTGTTGCGGCTCTCTCTTAAAAATCCAACCAGCAATTTGGGTAACCAGAAAGTGGAGGAGTTTGTGGGATAAGTCCGGTTCCTTCACACTTGTTGCCCCGCCCAAAAGGGTGTTGGTGTGTCTTTCCAGTGATCGACCACCAGAATGACGGGAGAAAAGTCTGGTGTACCTGATTAATGAATCTCCACCGCGTGGTTCGTACTAACCTGCCACTTTGAAGCTAAGCTGGTTGCCATTGGCTTTCTGCTTGCCGTTCAAGAAAGTTGGCTTTGGAATATTGGTTCTAGAAGCATTGTTCCTTGTGCGTTCGGCGAAACAATTTCCTAACCTTGGGTACTCATTCATTCATTCCAGTTTGACGCATTGCAAACTCAGTTCAACGATACAGTCGAACAAATAGACGGAAACGCCACTGCTCATGCGACCGCGGTTCTCAGATCTCGCCTTGAACGACTCAAGGCTTTGTCATCGTCAATTGATCTGGTTTTGTCGGACAATCTCTCGTTCGCCACGCGGGTCACTTCGGTAGAAAAATGTTTCGAAGACCTTCTGGCCCGGCTGTCACTTACCAGTCAGCCTGTGTGGTTGTCATGGGATGCGGTGGCCTATAAACCAATTGAGCGGCAGTTGGATGAATTGGAACAGACTTTCGACCGGTATGTTCTTCGTCTGGATGAGCAGAAACACTTGGCTGATGAAGAGGTTCAACGTCTATCGCTCGGACTATCCACAGCTCAAGAACATCTTCATCAGACGACCGGTTTGCTCAACAACGCCGAGAACAACACTTCATTGTGTATGGATAGAATTCAAAAGCTGCAGGACGAACTATTGTCCGAACAGGAACAGAGAGAGGAACTTAGGATCAAGCTCACCGAGGTCCAACTATCTCTGGAAGCGGTAAGGAAAGACCGTGAAGAAGGCATCGCCGCCATCCAACAACAGCTTGACACCTCCATTCAGGATCTGGCAACCGCGAGATCCACCCTGGTAGAAAGGGAGACTGAAGTGAGTTTGGTGTATTTTTCTCGGTTTGTGGTTTTTTGGAATACGGTACTCGCCCGTTCATATATTCTCTCCGTCCCTCTATGTCCATGGTGCTTAATAGTTTCATAGGCGCGACCACCATTCCAGTATGACCTGAGTAGCTCTCCTGATGAACTCGCGCGCAGGAGCAATAATGTCACGTGAGTTGTCCGAATTGAGCTGTCGGTGCAGTCTCATCTGCGCGTCCCACAATTCAGTACCAACTCGAACAAATAAAACCAATGAGGAGTAATTGTATCATTGGGGGCGAGGTGGCCCAAGTGGTTAGAGCGCGACGTTACTTACTGGAAGGTCCGTGGTTCGAACCCGACCTCTGCCGCATCTCGACTTCCCCTGTCTAGGCTTGGGCGACCTGGCAGTATCCCAGCCCTCGTGCCTCCTTTGGGTGGCGTGGCAGTTATGCACCGAAAGGGTGCTACAGCTGAACGAGTGTTGGTTAAGAGATATCGGATGGCAGACACGTTGCGCTAAATTATGCTCCACTTGTTTCTGGTTTTTACAAGTTTTTTACCCGTCGGTAGCCAGCCTGAGGTCAAAAGTAGACATTTCGCTGTGTCTCTGCACGTCGGTCTGATGTCAGCAGGTGATTCAAACAAGTTTCAAGTGTATCCGTGACTTTCTAGTGGTGTGCTCTCGGTTGACGGCCAGAACAACCCAGCAACTAATGAACGGTTGTCAGTTTTGAAACGATTGCACCCACACGTGAGTTGTCTATAGAGGTCGTTCCGATCCCGTTTACCGCTTCGAAAAAAATGTTCAGCTGTAGCACACTTTCGGTGCTTAGCTGTCATGTCAGCCGAAGGAAGCACGAAAGCTGCGATACTGCCGGGTTACCCAAGCCTAGACAGGAGAAGTCGAGATGCCGTGGCCAGTTTCGAACCACGGACCTTCCGGTCAGTAAATTTACGCTCTAACCACTGGGGCCATCTCGCTCCGACCCGGAGCTTACGTTATTCGGTGAAATTCCTCACAGCTATGATTACACACGCAAAACTCGCGGTAACATGGTTTTTAAAAAGACATCACAATACTATCGTAGATAGGCGCGGGGTTGTCTTAAGTTATCCGGGGTGAATCTAAACTGTTTCTCCATCAGCCTTGGTTCGAACGCCCACCGCGGGCCAACGCAAGCTGTGTTCGTACTACCGAATAAGAAGAGATCGCGCGATGGCCCGTCATTTCATTCTGGTATGCTGGTGCGCAGCTGTTGGAATGGCGAATGCCCACGGTCTACCTCACAGTTGAGCACTCTCCGTATCGAGCTCCTCATCTACTCCAATGGTAATTGAAAAAATTTCAAAGAAGATCCTTATGCGGAAGTTGTCCTTATATGGAGGTCGATTGGAGGATCAGTTCTATTCCAGTTCCCCTTCTCAGTTATGCTTTTTGAGAACAGGGCCCTTTCTCTCTCTCTCTCTCTCTCTCTCTCTCTCTCTAGTTGTCCAACTTAGCTGCCAGGACTGAGTCGCTGAACCGTCAACTGTTCGATGTTGAACGGACTTACACGGAAATGATCAAACAAACAATCGCCTCGCAGTCTCGTTGTCTTCGTACGCGAACGGACCGAGCTCGTGAATGGTTAACACGTAATAGGGATAAGTTCGACTCGAATGGACCTGACTACTCACTGACTACTCAGTTGGAATCAGTCTATCAGTTGGTAGTTGAATCGGACACTCTTGACTTTACCGAACCGAGTCTGGTTTCCGCGTTTCTCGAACGATTCGCCCAAGCTGACCAATGGCTAGTTGACCTCTCCAGTAAGGCCAACCAATTACAGTCCATTCGTCTTGAGGAATCGATCGAGTTGGAAACGTTGCGTGCTTCGGAACGTCAACTCGCCGACAAGTGTGTGATGCTTGAGCAACGGGGATTGGAGTTGCAAACAGAGCTGGAAAAGCTCGCGCAAGCGCACTCCGAACTGGCCGATTTGCAGAAGGCGGTCGCGGAGAAGAATGATGCTGTCTTGTTCATGACATCCGAGCTGGCGGAGTCCAGGAAGGAGCAAGATGTCCTGACTTCCGAATTGGCTTCAAAACAAACCGAGGTAAGAGTGTTTCTGGTTTATGAGTCACTTGATCGGTCACTTATAAGTCACTACTGAGTCACCGGTGAGTCACTTGATGAGTCACCTTCACGTTTTATTAGGAATAAACAGGTGAGTCCCGAGAATGCAAAATGACCGAACGGGCCTAAGTTTCCATCCTGAAGGATAGCGCCAATTTTCATTCTTCGAAACAGCTGGAAGTACCGAGCTAAGCCAATAAAACGTTAAAACGTCATAAAACGTCAAAAATCACGTTTCCGACGACCGTCTTCATCTGCGGCTGTATAAACCGCCAACTTGTCGTTATAGCTACCACAGTTCTGTTCACCTATCATCTTCGGCGATAGAAGCGGATTGCTACGCAGTGGAAGCGGTAGATACCATTGAAAGGAAGAAGGCCTTCGCTGCAGAATTATTTGTTGGAAAACGCCAACTGACCAATTACAGACTGTTGGACAGGAAAGCAAAATTCTCATATGCATCTTGTTTACAAAAACTGAATATCCATCTTCTTCTCGAACACATCTTCCTGTACTATTGCTCAAATCCAATCAAATGCGACTCCAGAAATTGCGCAACAGATCTCCCTTTTCAAGAGACGCAAAAGGAATCTACAAGAAGAAAACATACTACTCGCATGTCTCCCTCATCAGTAGTATCACCGTTATACCATAATCGGTACGTAAATCCAGGGTTGTCAGTGAACTTTTCTTTGGGGAGATTGGGAGGCAACTATGCGTTAGGTGCAACCGCTTGGATGCATGCACGCCACTGAGTGCGTGACTGAACCGTGTCTCTCTAATCGTATCTCTGATCGTTCCACCGCGCTGGCTTCAAACTTTCCACCTTAGTCCTCTTGTAAGGGCAACGATTCCGGAAGCCTTCCGCGATCTATAGAAATCGAGAAATCTCAGTAGACCCGAAGGTGCGTGGCTTGGTAAGTAGTTTGAAAACCTAATCGTTGGGATGTCATAAAAACGCCGTAGAAATCCAGAAACAACGGTGAATCGATTTGATCGGACACGAAACGTGTGCGCAAAATATGTCATGTGAATAGTCAGAAAGGCATTGGTATCGACGCAAGCCGATTCTTAAATTTACCAATACGAAAATCGGTAATAAAGGAATCGCACAGCACACACACAACTGCACTTTTGCAGCCAGAAACGGCGGAACCAAGTCTAACAAGACACAAAAACAGCTCAAGGGTGTTTCGTGCCTGCGGCTCTCGGTAACCGATCGGTCGTTTGTAACAGAACGTGCACCCTTACCGTACGCACAAGTGGTCCAAAGGTTCGCTCAAAACGTTCACCGAAATTCATTCAAAGGTCACGGGGTAATGAGCGATTGCAGATACAAATCGAATCTATGGAGCAGACTCAAAAGCACAGTGTCATGCAACAGGTAGGGGGCGGAGATGAACGATCGAAAGGGGGGATACTTGGCGTGTTGTTGTCACTTCTGTGCTAGTTACTGACTTGCTGTTCCTCCCAATATGATATACCAACGGGCACAATTGCTTGATAACCCCCTAACGGAGACTCATGAAGGCTCCACTTACATAACGCGAGACCTCAGTCTCCACACACTACCTTCAATCTATAAGTAACTCGTAGAAAGGATAATTTAACAAGATGAGTCGTCACTCGAGGAGGCAGTCAATTCGCGATCACGTGTAGTGATTGAAGGATTATTGGCGCCTTGCCCTGTCAAAGGGATAGCCAATCGCACTGCGGATCAGCTGCTTGTGACCGAGCGACCAAGTATTCAGCTACTAGCCGGGAGGTCGCGGGTTCGAGTCTCCCCACGAGAGTTCCGTGAGGTGCTGATGATTCCGAATGGGAATGAAACAGTTGTACAGTGCTTCTTAGCTTTTCAGCATAAATGGGCTGGCGTACTCATCCATTCGAGACCTGAAATTTGACAAGCAGATTTCAAACCCAAGATATAGTCATGGGTACTCTGTGATTACGCCGAATTGGTGAGCTTCACTAAGGGAAAGCAGTACGGATCTGTCCAAAGGGTCTTCTGTCAAGAGAAACCAAAGAAATCGTGCGCTTTTCGAGCAGTTAGCAGTGCGTATCTCACCTATCTTTCCGGGGGTTCCTTGCGGAACGAATGGGTGAGTTTTCGGCTGAAAAAGTTGTGACCTACAACACACAGAAAAGAAAAATTAACCTCAATATTTGTGATGTACTACTCACAAGGTTGCTGAAAATCCATCGACTGCCCACGACCGGTTTCGCCCTTCTTGGGGCTCATCAGGTAGGCGCCTGAGAACATCATAAACGAGAGATTCAGCTGGGTTCCAGGTGAGTCTCTCGAAAGAACCAAATTAGTTTGCAGATGAGTGTATATTCGCTAATCTCAATATTGTTTATCACAGGTTGACATTCGTCTAGATTGCTTATCGTTGGCGAGTAGAGCATCAGAAATGTTTTATGATTGGTCGAGGAACAGCCTGCAACGGCTATGACTGATCCGGAATCATGCAGACTGTGATTGGCTGTTAGACAGTTGGGGGCCAAGAACCAATGGGAGATAAGCCGGGCAAAATGGGATCATCTGATTGGTTTCATAGCCTGGTAGGTATGCGATTTCATCACAAGTTCTGATTCTCCAAATCAGTGCATGCGTTTGACCTCCCGTCAAGTTAACAAGCTCCGCCCATTATTGCATATCAAAATGCACGGTAGCTCTGCACATCCCTTCATGAAGACAAATAAAATTATTAAGATTATTATCATTAGACACAGAGTGTTCCACAAGGTCGTGCTAGGATATCCGTGAGGAGGCGAGAAGCGTCGAGTCAAAGATGCTCGACTCGGATTGGTTGGCATTCTGGCCAATCAGAACACGCCTTCGTTTGGTCCGTGTCCTGCACGTGACACATCCGTCCGATTTGAGTTCACTCGGGCAATCTACATCCACACCACTAGTCGATGGCCCTTCTTCACCGATAACCTCAAATATAGCACATCTAAAACCAGTCGCCAATTCTACGCTTTCTATTTCTGTCACGTGAGAATACCTGATGATCGCTTTGACGTGAATCGTAACTCACTTTAAATTCTAGGTCGAAACCTAATTCCGATGCGCCCAGCGTGCGCTGGTGGAGTAGTGGTAACACGCTCGTCTGGCGTGTCATATGTCCAGGGGTTCAAACCCCAGCACGACGAAGGGTGTACATTGCTGATGGGCTCCAATAAGAGTGAAACTCGAGTCCAGTGCCTCCCATCCCCCGGTATGGACTTACCCGAATGATTGTTCCAGGGCAGGAGGACGATTGCTCAAACGAGACATTCTATTTTGTCTCTTCGATGGCTTTTTGTGTCAGTTCACCTCCTCTCTCCACGAAGTTCCTTCATTTCCTTTCCCCAATTTGATCCAGATGGACCAGCTTACAACAGAGCTATCCACATGGAAGACTCAGTTCTCAAACCTCCAGCAACAGTTGGATCAGACGACGGGACAGTGCGCCGAGCTTCAAGAGAAACTGATCGAAACAAGAAAAATTGCTGAAGAAGAGAAGCATGCAGTTCAACAATCTCTCGAAGTTTCAGCATCCGTCAAAGAAGGTCAACTCAAGCAGCAGCTGAAGGTCAGTTCTTTTCGGTTGGTCAGACCACGTTCTGTTTGACATTAGCCCTCCCTAATCCGTTTTTTCCGGTTTGTATCTCTTAATATTTGCTTATTGATCGATATCCGATCACGCAATCGTGTGGGTACATCATTGTAGCCATCGTTAAAACGAGTTTGCTCTCCCAACCACAAAGAACGATCAACACAGTCTCAGGCATGGAAATGCACTGAAATTTTGACAGAACGATTGATATGGTTAGTCCGATGCCTCGAACGACGTTCCCTCTCCACTGGATGGCGAACATATTTAGCCTTCTCCCCGATCGTTCTGCTGATCGTCAGCTTTAAACACCCTTTCGGTGCTCAGCTGCCATGCCACCCGAAGGTTGCACGAAGGCTGGGATACTGCAAAGTTGTTCAAGCCTAGACAGGGGAAGTCGAGGAGCAGAGATCGGGTTTTAAGCCACTAACCTTCCGGTCAGTAAGTTCGTGCTTTAACCCGTTGAGCCACCTAGCTTGTCGGATCACAGAGGCATTGGAGGACCACCACGTCTAGGTGGCGACTTTTTTGACAAAAAGGTTAGCCCTTTTTCCCATAATCTATTCGAGCGAACGTTTTTTGGCGAAGAATCCACGTCTGTCGTCCTTTCAAGACGTTCTGTATGAGTTTTGGAAAAGTGCTTGAACATCACATTTCCACGGTTGTTATCCTGAACCGAATGAACAGGGACTGGACGGTTTAAACTCCGCAGAAAACCTTGTTTACCCCTGTGTTTGAGAAAGGTGAAGCTGTGTTCCCTAGTTGACGCCTTGACGCATAGTCTACAGTATGCAGAGTATGTGAAGACCCCAGCGGTACACATGGAGTCTACAGCATGAACAAGCAGACGTGTCAGCCATTGGTGTGTCTGTCTAACGAAATTATATGACCAGCTCAGAGATTGGGCACTTGTACCGGTTGGTTCGTTTCAACCGACAGAAACAAGTTTTTGTAGGGTCCATCTGGTTGTGTAAGATTCCTAAGGGTGCCTGAAGACTGTCCGTGTTGGATACCGAAACCCATCCGTTGGATTATTCAGTTGGACCTCATCATGGGTTATCCAGTATGACCAAGGGCTAAAGTTCGGTAAAACACAAATTCTCAGTTGTATGAGTCCATTCTTCTCTTGCTGTAAGAGTTTGTGGCCACAATAAGAGACGTGCCTGTGCTGTGTTTCTCTTTTCAGGAGCTCAAGACCCGTCTGAAACAAGTGTTACAGGAATCCGAAACTCTGAGAAAGAGCAACGTGTCATTCGTTAATCGTGAGAATGAAATGAACTCCCTGCTCAAGGAATTAGAGGCCCAGCTCGCTGTTGAGCGCCATGAATGTGAGAATCTACGTAATCGTATCACGCAGTTGATGGATCAGCTGGAAGCCGTCCCTGTGGAACACGAAGTTACGGTCGAACCTCAATCACTGGTCATGTCTTCTGCAAAACCGTAAGTTTTAGAGCGTTACTCTCTTTTGAAGCTTCATCCCACTGCCTATTGGCTAGATGGCGCAACCTACCAATCGGAAAAAATCACGTGACTTATGAAGTATTTTTTATTGAGGATTTTCTGCAGGCCGTGCTATGCTTTTGTTTAGACCAATCTGGTTTCGCTTTTTTGTTGTATGGTCACTGAAAACCGGAAAAATTTAACACATGAATAATGTCGTTCCGGATCAGTTGGCGATTTAACGGTTACCAACCTCGGTTGCTAAGCCATTTCTGTCATTCAGCCAAAGTTGGTCAACTTGGTTAGCAAAACAATTGTCTTCAGGCCAGCCGTCCCTAATAACCGAACATCGCATCATTTGGACGGATGTGTCACGTGCAGGATGCGGACCAAACAAAGACAAGCTCGGATTGGTCAGAGTGCCAGCCAATCAGGATCGAGCATTTTTAACTCAACGCTTCCCGTCTCCCCACGGAGATTCTGGTATGACCTTGTGGAACACCCTGTGACTACCCTATAAATAATAATAATAGTAATAATTTTCCCTTGTCTTCATAAAGGGCTGTCTAGAGATACTGTACCTTTTGATATACCATGGTGGATGGAGCAGGAAACCCAGGGACCGATACAGAGTTGCGAGACCGTTCAGCAAGTCCCAACAACAATGCAATGCATGGTGAACCCACGACGTCGCGCTTTTGCGATTGTGTCTACACTACTCACAAATCACCCAAGTAGTCTGTTGTGACCGCCCAACCGACTGATTCCTATTCTCAGAGTTCTCTCTGTGCTTATAGTTTCCTGGACATTGTTCTTCATGCGTACAGCTTATCACGATCAATTACTTTCTGCAATGTCCCTTCTCGACTTTCTTCCGGACCTCTCTAGGACCGCACACAACAACCCTTTGGCCGACTTCCAAGAGGACTGGCAGCATGCGACCGAATTGCTGAAGGCCGAGCATGCTGCACATATTCAGGAAATGCAGTGCGACTTGAGTCAGCAGTTGCGTGCACGTGAGGAAGAGTTACGTGCCGAATTTCATAAAACGTTGGGTGAGTTTTCATTCTGCCGTTCATGGCCAAACGCTTTTCCACGCATCTGTACTGGTTAGGCTGATGACAGAGTAAAAAAAATCGTTCAGCTGTAGCACCCTTTCGGTGCCTAGCTGCCATGCCACCCGAAGGTCGCACGAGAGCTGGGATACTGCCAGGTTGCTGTAGCCTTGACAGGGGAAGTCGAGAGGCAGAGGTCGGTCTCGAACCACGGACCTTCCGGTCAGTAAATTCGCGCTCTAACCACTTGGCCCATCTCGCTGATGACAGAGTATGTTCCGGTTAGTGTGAATTCCTTAGCTTCTTGGCGCTATGGCCTTAGTCCACTCCCTGCCAGTGTTGATCGATCGTTTGCAGCCTAAAGGATGAGTAGCTCTGCCATCTTGATACTCAATCCTAGTCTAAATTGAAATTCTTCATCGTACTCGTTGACCGATCTTGCAAAAGGCTCGTCAGGCCTTCGTGTAGCTCGGTGATCTAGAATTTTCAGGTCAGGCTGCTTTGCGGTTTCAATTTAACTGCTTAAGTGGCATCCATGAGGGCTTTCGTCAGCTTTTCTCGTTTTCTTCCCCTCTGCTTTCCTATCCAACACAGATCTGGCCCGAACAACGGAAGCCCAGCTACGTCAGTCGCATCAGTCCGAGATGGATGCGATGCATCTTCGTCTAAGCGAACTGGTCAACCAAAACCACTCCCTCCAGACCAACTTGGATAAATTACAAGCGGAATTTGTGGTGAGTCTTTTTTCGAGTGAGGGAGACATCCCCAATCGAGCTTGGCAGCACTGGAACATATGTTGTCATAAAAAATGTCGTTCAGTTGTAGCACGCTTTCGGTGCGCAACTGCCATGCCACCCGAAGGTTGCACGAAGGCTGGGATACTGCAAAGTTGTTCAAGCGTAGACGGGGAAGTCGAGAGGCAGAGGTCGGGTTCAAACCACGGACCTTCCGGTCAGTAAATTCGCGCCCTAACCACTTGGGTCATCTCACCCCCAATGTTGTCATAACTGCAGTGGCACTCAGCCCCTCATGGCACCGGGTACGGTGCTTAAACACGAACCGCGCATAGCTGCGTTTTCGAATCTCCCACAGAGATTTATAGGGTACATACTACTTGTGGATGCATCAGACCAGCAACGTGAAATCTAGATCCTTTTTTACAAAATTCTACTCAGAAACATTGTGTTTGATTTTTTTGGCAGACCTTGGAGCAAGAAAGTAAAATGCGCTCTTTGGAGATTCCTGCACCGCAGCCTGCCGAGCAGAGTGATGAATTGGAACATCTTCGAACCCAGGTTGCAGAGCTGCAAACCCAGCTGTCGCAGTTGGACCAATCGACTGTGCACGATCCCTCCTACCAAAGAACCGGTTCCCCGTCTCAGACCTCGAGAACCAATGGTGTAAGTTGGGTTTGTATCACTAATCCTCCCTGTTCCTCGTATTCCTTCCTTACCACTCAACTCATCTCACTGTCACCTTGTAGCTCCAATCGATTTCCACCCGTGGAACCGAACCCTGGTCCTCGTCCGCTGAGTACGATCCGTTGGACCCCGTACAGCTGGCCAAACCATCTGATTGGGTCGAGCAGCTGCGTAGTGAGATCATGCGAGCGGATTCGATTGATTCGGTGTAAGTTCTTTGGGTACTGAAGCCTCATTCACTGTGCACTTTGTACTGTCTCGATTTTGTTGGCGCGTTGTGCCCCACAGTCGACGGTTTCCTTTCAGAAACGGTAGAACACATTGGAAGGTCACCAACTTCCTGCTGGATTGAGGAGGCGCACAACGAACGAGCGAGTTTATAAAGACAGGTGGGAGGACCAGGAAACCGGTTCATTTTTCTGCAATTGGGTGTTGAACGGACCGACTAAAGTATCGGACTGCTAGGTAACAGCTTCGACAAAAAATTGACCGTGTAGCCACCCTCAGTTTCCTTGGAGTTTCCTCTACAGTCTGTTCTGTTTAGTTCTTTACGTTGTAGATACATTGATACTAATAATTTTTGTTATTATATGGTAGTAATAACGATAATTTAGCTGTAACAGACACCCTATCGGTGTCTAGCGGTCACCCGAAGGAAGCACGAGGGCCAAGCCTAGACAGGAGCAGTCGAGATGCCCGGGGTCGGGTTCGAACCACTCACACACACACACACATTTCTGGTAGCTTGAACCAGCGTTCGTCGAACACCGATCTATTTTGTCTGTCGTTTCAATCCTATTGTAGACATCCCGCTGTTCGCACGGGTCATTTTGTCCACACGGTTTCGGCGCAGGACTATGAGGCACTGCAACTACACAACGCGGACCTTCAAGTAAGTTGAATACTTTTCACTGTGTTCGTTTCTGACAGGGCGACGGGCAGACGTAATACACTACTCGACACTACACTACATTCCTCGACAGCCTACGACTGGTTTTTATCCTTCTTCGGGCTCATTAGGTAGGCGCGCAGTCCCCGAGTTTCCGTCAACCTTGTGTTCTATTTGAAACCAAATTGCACGAAGTTAGCGAAATACACTCATTTGCAAACAAATTTGGTTTTGCGATAGACTCACCTGGAACCGAGCTAAATCTCTCGTTTGTGATGTTTCCAGGCAACTGAATGTACTGAACCAGGTCACTTCATGTTTCAGTCGCTACGATATTCGAGATATTGCGATACATGTATAGACGTGATACACTACTCATAAGGTTACTAACAATCCTTCGACAGCCCACGACCGGTTTCTCCCTTCTTGAGGCTAATCAGGTAGGCGCAGTCCCCGAGCTTCCGTCAATTTCATGTTCTACTTGAATCATCATAAACGAGAGATTCATCTGGGTTCCAGGTGAGTCCCTCGCAAAGCCAAATTTGTTTGCAACTGGGTGTATCTCGCTAACTTCGTGAAGTGTGGTTGGACTGCGTCTCTATTGCCTTAAAGCACATATCGTATATTTGCCCAAATATGGGTGCGTTTGCCAACACTCCCCGGTAAAAGTACCAAATGCAGAAAGGCTTTCGAGAGAATCAACACATAGGAATGTCCACTCCGTACCGCAAGATCTATCTGGTTTCCCCTGCAACCTCTTCGTTCCTTAGTTTTCTCAAGCTTCTTTTTCAGAAGGACTGAGCCGGACAAATCTGGTTAAGTATCGGAATTGCACGAGTTAGGCAGCTCTGAATCGGGCTTTTTCCAGAAAATGCAGGTTAAGAACGGTGTTCTTTTGTCATCGGCTGGCAGGCAAACAGGATCACTTCTGGGGGGTTCGCAAATCAGGACCTCGCTAGCAGGGACCCCCTGTTTGAGTGGCTTGTGTTCAGCAACGACCCGACTATTCCCATGCGTTGGGCACGACAGTTGTGGGCAGTGGCGAAATTCCGCATAAATTCTTTTGGTTCTCCTTTGATATCTGTTCTCTCCGTCTCTCGTTAGAATCAACTGCATCAGTTGGCTGCCGACTTTGAAGCTCTCCGTGCTCGGTGTTCCTCATGCAACGGTTCCTTGGAACACGGCTCACTGACCATCCCTCCCTACAGTCCTGTCCTTAGTCCTTCAGTGGGAGGCATACACGAACTGGTTGAATATGAGGTAAGTGTTTGGAACTATCTACCTGTGTGAATTCAGTCTATCTGGATGGCCTTCAGACAACACTGTTTATATTCGTTTCCTTGTAGTATTTGAGAAACGTGCTATTCGAATACATGACTGGTCGTGAAACAGCGGTAAGCGATCTCTCCCATGTCGGATCTCAACCTACTTTCATCCAGTCGCTCATTTCTTTTTGTTACTATATTTATTTGGTTTCTAAAGAATTGTGTATGAAATGCCTAACCCCATGGGCCTATCTGTTTTCGTGTAACTTTCATGTGAAGTTTTCTGTACTGTTTATTCAAATGAGGGCTTTCCTGCAGCCTATGGAGATTTGAGATCACGCCGTTTCTCATTTCAGCTTCTGTTGTTCTCTTTCACACACTGGTTTGCCTCAATGCTCACCAGCCAATCAAAATCCCGGTGGAAAGGTCATGTGGCCGAACTACCCATGTATGATTGGTTCACGTAATGAGCCAATAGGAGTGAACCGAATCCAACCGACGATATATATGCTGTGCTTCGCTTGCTTGCCTAGGTAGAATAAGGGTAAAATACCAGTAGTAATAATTTCTAATAGTGGTAATTAGTAATGAGAACAATGATTAGTAATAATAATAGTGCACTCTGTCAGGGAAATAGCAAAACCGTTTTGTGTGGGTGCTAGCGACACAATTTGTATGGACTTAGTAAGTGAGTTTTGGTTGCCTAGTATTCTCGGTACGAAGAGCTTCAGAGAAAGTATGAGAATGGTGAGACTCAATCATATGTATGGAGATTTGACTATGCGTGGATCTCATAACTTTGTGTGTTTGGGGGCTCGAAAAATCTCGGTGGTTAAGAGCCTGTCCCTATCCGGCGAATGAAAATAGCTCTTCGGAAACTAGGATCTTTTCGAGGTTGCTACCTCGTAATTAAAAACGTTTGCGACAGGACAAAAAGACGATTGTTTAAACGAGAATCATGTTGTGTGTATTCTACAAAATCCTGCCACCACAAACACCTGCCCAATACTTTTTTCCGCGTCTCCTTCGTGTGGGTGATTTTTCAAGTTCAAAAAACATCTCGAATCGGAAAACCGTGCTTACTGCTGTCTAAGCTATTGCTCTAATGGTCCGGGGTTCGAACCCAGTCCTACCTCTTCAAGTACATCTATCTAACACTGCGTGCACTTGTCGTAGTTAGTTTCTTGTGAATGATTTACTGACCAATACTCATTCTTGTTTCCATGTAGACTCTTGCCAAAGTGTTGTGTTCCATTTTGCGTTTCAACGCGGAACAAACCAAGCGAGTGCTACAGTACGAAGATGACAAATCACGCGTAAGTTTTGCGTCATCAAACCTGGCTACCAACTGTTCGGTTCAATTTCCTCAGTTGATTCACCCCTGAATAAACTCGCTTGACGGTTACACGAACGTTTGACCGATTCTCTTCATGTGAAACGCGTTTTATAGTTTTTTTTACTCTGCACCAACCCGTTGATGCTGATGATTCTTCTGCGAAGCACAGAATCAAGCAAAGTTGGAGATCAGTCTAGCGGATGTTAGAATCCGATGTTTCGGATGCCGTCGGCGTCCCTTTTCACGAATACGGGCCAGTTACAAAGCCGTTTATGCCCGCCATCCATTCCTCTAATTTTTGTTTTACTGCGGTCAATTTTTACTCACGTGTCGTATCTAACTAACGGTTGACCTCAAGAACACGCCAATCTGAAGACGTGATGGTTGACTCAAATAACGTTGCAAGTGGCCTAAATTCAATCAATTGAAAAATCCTCGGGAATGGTTATCCAGGACACCTGCTACGTTGGTTTGTAACACACTGTCCAGTTGCGTTTTGTTCTGACATAGTCCGAGCCGAGGTAGGTCACAAACTGAAGCTTGGCAACGATCGAATTACATTTTCAAAAAAATTGTGAAAGCTTTAGAATATTGACACCGTATTCGATGCGGATAAATTCGGATAAATTGTACGCTGACTGTGCCATCGGAGTAGGCTGATTAGTAGCGGGTGGAAAGACAAACCGCAATAGTCGGTTTCCCACAGTTAGTCAGTCAAAATTATGAGGTCATTTTTCACTACTGTCAAATACAGAGTAGTAAGTTAAATAAATGTTACTCCCGACCCCGTCTTTATCAAGAAGCCCTGACGGTGAGTGAAACTTTAACTTCAACCAATCACTGTACGTCATCGGCTTTTTTGAGTTGCCAATGGAAGGTGTGCATGTTTTGTATCGATTGAGTGTTTTTTTAACCGCATGTCTTTTGCCGCTACTCTATGAAGCACGCGATTGATTGTCAAATTGCGTTGCCAAGCGATCTCCAACACACAGACGTGCTTCTGGTTTTCATAACCCACTGTTTCTCACCTGTTTTCAGAGCTGGTTCATTCAAACCAAGATCGAATAACGCTGTTGGTATACAACTGGATGAAACTTCTCACTGCCACACCGTTCTAAAACCTGGTGACTTTCACTCACTCCCACCCCGTGACCTATAGGAATCACTCACGTTGGTTTGTTTCCCTGCCCCCCCTCGTTATCTGATCTTCCCAAATCGTTAATGGCTGTGTGTCATCACTGCAAATCCTGGGACATGAGTGTTCTAATTTTTTTCTCTCACGCTGTCCAAACGTTTGTTTGTCTGTTTCGTAGTCCCCATTGTAACTACTTAATTATTTGATGGGATGCCTTCCTTATTGGTTATTTTTTACCAGTTCGTGGATTCTTAATCGTCCTCCTGTCTTCTTGCCTGTCTGTCTTCATCCATTATATGATTTGACAGAGTGTACATTCTTGTGATCGGACCTAACTTGCGCTTTTGCACTTGCCTGAGCTTTTTTTTGCTGACCAATCGGTATTTTCATTTACGCGCGCGCACACACACACACACAGGGCATGTGTGATTCAACTTGCACGGATGTGCGAGTACCCCATGCTTTATCGCACAATTATTCGATGACAAAAGCGCTGGAACGTGTAACGAATGAGGGTACCAAACATTTTCGAGAAGGAATTTAATCCTGTACGTGTTGTCATCATCGTCGGCAGCATGACATCAGTGTTCAACACCGATGCTACACTGCCTTATTGTAAAGAAAAGAGTAAAGGTGGACGGGGAAGGGACTTAGTGCTAGATTACCACAATCATTCCGAGGTGCCTACACCTCCAGACATTCACTCAGGCGATCTAGATAGAAACTGACTACAAGAACGCCGCTGACATCGGTTGGCAGCTATATCTTGTAGTGTCTCCAACCAGGCACAGTGAGGATCAAGCGGTCCCCACCCTGGAAGGCGAGTAGCACCGACAGCACCCAAGCGTTTCGTGATCTCCTTCGTACTCCTCTGCCAAGTCAAGGATTGGCCACCTCTCTGTTTACGCCACTCCTAATTGGGCATGGAAAACAGCATTCTCTTCGGCAAACGATGGTTCGTCATACGTAACACATGTCCCAACCAACGCAGCTTCTGGTGCTGGACACATTCTTCAATGGAAGTACCCGTTACACAACCGAAAACACGCTCTTCAACTGCCTCGTTACGGATTCGCCGACACCAACCCACACGAGCTATGGTTCTGAGACAACGATTGTCGAACACCTAAAGACGTCTCAGTTCCGCTGCTCGAATAGACCAAGTCTCACAGCC